CACTCCACACCGGCAAGGACCACCCCAGGCGGTGCCACGCCCACCCCGACAGCAGACTTCTCATGAGACCAGTGACGTTCTGCCACACATTCCAAAGGGTCTGCTGGAGGCCAGGCCAGCAGGCAGGTGACCAGGCTAGCTCCTGTCCTCACGTGCAAGACCCGCACTCCAGCCAGTCTGCATGCCGCAGGGTCTCAGTTTCCCCGTGTGAATGGCAGAGCGGGAGACGGCAGACCTTCCAAGTCCCTTTCGCTCCTGCCTGGCTGTTTCTGAGGCCCGGCCTTCACACGAGCAGCCGGGCGTCCGCCTGCCAAGGGAGCTGGCTGACGGGGCGGGACGCGAGTGCCACATGGCTGGGCTAGAGCCTAGTGTTAAAAATTAGAATTAACCAGCTGATGACTCAAAATTTTAAAGTTGTATTTTGTCAAAGGAAGGAAAAAAATCCACTTTTAGAAACAGATTTTACAATGACGCAATAAAACTGCTAATAAAAACAAATTTGGCACTGTTGTTTTAATTGGACTGCTATGAGAATAAGTTTATGACTCAGACCCAGCACGTAAGAGTTCTGAAATTAGATTAAAAGTTGTTCATCAATGAAACTATTGGTTTTTTCACTAGAAAGACAAATGAAAATGAATCCAACAAACCAGAAGCTATGGATACACTCGTCATCGTACCCAACAGCCTGTCAAAGGCAGGCTTAAGCTTCCATCAACAGCTGGCCCGCCCCGAGACCCCCAAAAGGAAATAACCACCAGATCTAAACATGCGGAGCCGCTGACATCAGCATGCACAGGCCACTTTGTGAGATTAGGGACTAAACACTCATGAATGGCAATGTCCGAATATAGCAAGGCAGGCCATGGCCCTCCTAGGCGAGCCCCATTGTCTCCATCGTCACATTCCTTACTGAACTCCACGACAGGCAAGGCGCAGGGAGGGATGCGACGTGGCCACTGTCCGAGAGCGGACACTGGGTTGGGAGAGAGGCCCAGAGACGAGCTGGGCAAGACAGCACGTTCGCCAACACCAGGAAGAGGCGTTACGTTTTCCCAGGTCAGCATGGTTTGTAAAAGGTCAAACGAACTATTCTCTTCAAATGGCTAGGATATCAAGACAGCAGTAAGAACCACAAGTTTCCCGAAACTGTCACGAGGCTGTGCTTGTTGGCACGCTGACCCAGCTGACCCAAGACAGCTAGACGGCCACCGCCAGCTTTATGAGGCCCCCGTACAGCCTTCATGGACCTGGCAGGTCGTGAGAAACAAAGGCTGACAGGAATGCTGCCCCTCTGGTCCAGCCAGGTCGTCTTTAGAACTGTGACAATCAACTGGTCATGTCGGTACCTGTAAGTCCATAAGCTGCCCAAGTGATTTTCCTTGGAGGCACAGGGCCTGAGCGATAAAAGCGTGCAGGTCCTCCAGGGAGAGTGTGTCCACCTGAAAGGGAGGGGGGAGAGCCCAGCATTAGCGCTTCTGGACCTGGAGGGCGGGGGGGTGGGCAACGACCAAATGCAGACTCACACAGACTCACGCATGGCACGTGTCCATCTGGGCAGCAGACGAGTGGTGGAGGGGGAAGTGAGCGGAGCCTCTTTCCCACCGTCCAGTCCCTGGGGCAAAGCCTCCATGGTGCCCGAGGCCACAGTGGACATAGAAGCCTGGTCATTCTCTAGCAACGCAGAGCGTTCCAGAACGCCTGGCAGGAACCGTGCGCCATGACTGAGCCTGGTCTTAGAGACCACAGGTGGCCCTTCTGAGGCACAAGTTCCAGAGCTGGCCGCTCGGGTTTGCAGAGAGCACCCACAGCTGGCCCGAGCTGGGGTCAACAACTGCCTGCACCGGCCGCAGGTGACACCTGTCATTACAGCTGTCATTTACACAAAGGAATCAGGATCCCCAAAATATGAGACCCCACCAATCCTCTGTGGAATCAAAGGTGTAACAAAAGTGGGAGAGAAATGAGGAGACACGGGCGGGGAACAGCCAGATCTCGGGACCGTGGGAATGGGGAGAGGGCCCGTGAGCCCAGGAGACAAAGCCAGGTGGACACGGCGACGCAGACCGTCCCCTGCGTCTCCTCCGACTTTTCCACGGTGCGGGTTTGTATATTGGAGAGTATGTGATTTTATTCTGCATTACGCATAAAAACATCCAACTGAGGCATAACTATAAAAAAGTACAATAATTTTATAAGTGCAGTTTTTTAGCCTTATTGATCCTGAGAGAATACTTATCCCCGAGCATGACACAGCACCTTCTTAATCTGATGAACACTGCTGGTGTGTCGATTTGTTTTCTAGTTTTAAAATGTTCCAATAAATGTGTCGTTAAGGTCAAACCTCATGCTGGCTTTCACTAGAGACTTTTATCTAAAAAGCAATCGTTAGGAGGAAGAAAGTGAACGTGGATGTTTCCCTCCTGACACGTATCTTGCTCAAGTTTAACTAAACATAAGATGCAAAGCTACAGGTCTGGGGTTTGGGATTTTTTCTGCCAGAAGTGGTTTTAATAACTGATTGCCACTTGCACAAACGACAGGTGAGCAGAGCTGTGCTGTGTGACTTCCAGTGGCTTCAACAACCCAGCACTCCCGCTAGAAAAGATAATTCTGAGTGTACGTCATAGGAGCATCAATTCATGGCTCCCAGCACTGAGAAAAACACACTTAGTTTGCGGGTGAGGAAGCTCAGGGTCACTGGCACTTGCCAATGCCCACTGAGCCTCAACCTGAGCCACAGCCACCTCAGGTCAACACACGATAGAAGAGAATACGAGCCTGCAATACATGCACACACGTTTAATAAACAATATCGAAAGAAATGTATGTTTACATTTACATATTAAATAATCTTGCCATCCTCTATTCATTTATACTTTGCTAAGTCTGGTGCAAATGGAAAAGTGGTCCGCTCAAAACAATAAGACCAGCCCTAAAGTTCACACCGCTGCCTGTGCAACCAGTAACGAGGCAGCAAAATCTCTGAGAGTCCCTGAACCACACATTTTCTCAAAGTGCAAAAGGCAGAACTAGCGGGAACGCAGAGCCAAGAGGACACTTAGAATGCAAAAGCCAGTATAAATAAGGTTCTCTGGAAATATAATTCCACAATAAAAGTTTCTGTAAGGCCATCAACTACTCATAAAGTGAACTCAGGCTGGAAAATCAGAATCACGTAACTTTCCGTCCCGAGCAAATGAAAATGTGATGGCTGAGCCCACACAGACCCATGATGAGAGCCGGACGCGGTGGACTGAAGGGGCTGAGAAGGTTCGTGAGAAAGTCCAGACGGCTAAGGAGGGAGATTCTCGGTCGTGAAGGGTGCCCTGTCGTTACGACAGCAGCCAGGCGAAAATCATTTTGAAATCACACAGCCGGGGAAGGGACGTGGGCAAAGGGGGCCATGGCAGACGGCCTTTTAAGCCCTTCTTTTACTGAGGTGCCCAAACAATCGTGCTGTGGAAAACTGTTAAAAAGGCGAATCTTTTCATTGGCTTTTGTAATTTTCACATATAAACCAAGTGTAAAAAGAATGAAAAAAGCCGTCCGACTCGCGGAGAGTCCTAACGTGTGGCCTTTGCCTGTGGCCCCGGGACATGACCGAAGATGGCGGTCGTGACCCTCGTGTGCTTTGCACGTGGCTGCCCCAGGAACCCCAGGAAGTGGCTATTAGCTCCTTCTCTGTCTGGAACACAAGGTTAAGTGTTTAGTGAACATCAGTTAGGCGAACGAGTAAGTGAGACTTAGGGAAGCTGACGTAATCTGCCCAGAACGAAGAGCTGTCAGGGGAAGGCTGGGAGTCCAGGTGGGTCGCCAGAGCATGGAGCAGGGGATGGAACCTTCTCATGATGACATCAAACCCCAGGAGCAGTGACGGCCACCCAGGTAGTGACACAGGAGCAGGGTCCGCCACGGCCCAGAAACTGGAAAGCAGGCTCTTCCCCGGCAAGACTCCCCAAGCCTGTGAGTGCCCTGCGAATCTCAGTCCAAACGCAGGAGGGGCTTCTCAAACACACGCCAGCACGGAACCCTTGTCAGCTCTGCACAGTTCACAGAACCAGTGTGTGCAGGGTGCCGACGACATGGGGGCTGGCCCAGGACTGCGTCCCAGAGCACGGCGCCTCACGGAGGACGAGGGCCGGCAGTGAGGGGTGACTCGCGACCAGGAGCAGGTTACCTGCACAAAGAGGTAGGTCAGGAGGCAGCACAGCGCCTGGAAGCGGCTCTCGACCGCCTGCAGCTCTTCCCGTGAGGAGGAGAGGTCCAAACAGGCGAGCAGGGTGTCCATGCGCCGGGCCTGGATTCCGGGCTCCTGGCTCAGCCACAGGACTTTCAAACTGGGCGTTCCCCCTGGGGAGCAGAAAGAAAGCCATGCGCCGCTGCTCTCTGCCCTAGCAAGTCATACAACCGAAGAACAAGGGGCGCCAGCCCTTCCCTTGCTGACGTCCTGGGGCTCTGCCGCTTAGAGGGACTAGAAGGCAAAGGCCAACGGAGCTCCCCGCTTTATGTGAACGAAACCCCGAGAGGCCGGCAGACGTGTGTTGTTGAAAACATGCTTGCTTTTGCGTCTGGAGGGGAACGGGGGCGTCTTCCTTCCTGTGCTGGGCCCTGCACTGTGAAGAATGCCTTTCGGGGCGCGTTTCGCAGGCACCACCCTGCTTGCCCCTCCCCTCGACCCGCGGCTCCCAAACTCCAGCGCGCAAAGGCGTCGGCTGCAGAGATGGCAGGTGTGCACTTTCCCGGGGTCTGTCCGCGGGTGCCCTGCTCGGCCAGACGTGGGGCCTGGAGGCTTCGACACGGGGTGTCTGTGACCCCATGCCCCTAAAACTACATGAACCAAAGAAATACCTAAAATATAATTTTTAGTGTTTCACTTTCATATTTTACACATACATTTAAATTGTTAAAATCAAGGAAAAGGAAAAACCTCATTCGTTTACGTAAATCACACCAAATGGCACAGAGTGGAGGAGGGCACGGCAGGTGGAGGTGCCGGCCCCACCCCGGGCGGCGGCAGCGTGCCCTGCACCGTCACTTGGCTCTAGGACAGGCCCGAAGCAAGAGGATGGCTGAGGTCCACGCGTCCCGCACGTTTACTCAGGAAGCGAAACCCACCGGTGTCGGAATTAAGCGACTCTCCTCTCCCTAATGTCGCTCACGACGCCACTGAGCGTACTCAGTAGTGTACTTCCCACCAGCGGAGGGGACACAATCCAGCAAAAATCACTGGCATTTCTGAAATGGCTGAAATATTCCCTCCACCAAGAATACTCTTTCAATATCTATTTTGGAGAAAAATTATTTTTCTTTTGAAAGAAAGAAAATGCTGAAGATAAGTGGCAGAAAGAAAAGTCTACGGAGCTGGTCTTCAGACAGAGCTGTCACTCCAGGACGACCGCAGGAGGCAGACGTTTCGAGAAAGCGCTCGTCTTGCGGGGTCAGCAAACGGCCGCCTGTGGCCAGGTCCCGCCCGCCAGCTCACTGCCTGTTTTTGTACAGCCCATAAACGGTTTTCACATTTTAAAATGGTTGAAAAAACCGAAAGAATACTCTACGGTATGAGAAAACGGCATGAAGCTGCGATTTCGGCGTCTCGAACGAGCCGCTGCGCTCACGTGCGCACGGCGGGCGGGGGCTCCTCGCGCCTTCAGAGCGGAGCAGCTGCAGCAGAGGCGTCTGAGCCCGCAGCCTGCAGTGTTCGCACCTGACCTGTACAGGAGGGCGCCGGCCCCTGCTCTAGGGTGAGTGACGCCTACTCTGTCATCGCAGCTCTTTCAAACAACCTAAAGTATTTGAAAAATATTTTTTTCTGAGTATCAAAATCACTCATGGCAAAAAAATAGAAACACATAAAGGAAATAAAAGTAACGCACGGTCCCGCCCCCCAAGTACAACTGCATTTCAGAACGCAGCAGCCAGCCCTGCGGCCAGCGCCTCTGTGAGCACGGCTGAGAGGCCAGCGCACCGCGGCCGACGCCGGAGAAGTCCCCTCGCCTCATCTGCCTCACGTAAGCATTTGGGGACAACATAACGAGATGCACGCAGTACACTCAGAACCAAGCAGAGTAGCAGTGTGGACGTGACGGTCCCCGAACAAACCATCACAGCGCTTGTGGCCCACCGTTCACCCCTGCCAGGGCAAGGCCGGATGACATGGGCTCGCAGACCCAGGTAAGACACAGCAGGTAACACGCTTCCAAGAACCATGTGACGGAAGGCTGGGGAACAGAAGAGCAGCACCCCCTGACTGGGTGCCAGCCTGTTCTCGCTGCCACTGTCACCGAGCCTCTGAGAAGGCTGAGGGTGCCCAGGCTGTGACACCTACAGTCCTGCGTGCACTGCTAGGCGCTGAAAAGCCCTAAGATGGACAGTCAATATTTTGGAAGACCCAGCGGGCAAAGGTCACGCACACGCTATGGTCCTGCCAGGGATGTGGGGCTCAAAGGGATAAGTGAGCCAGGCAGGGGCACGGAAGAGACGGCCGTGACCCTCCGGGCTGGGCTCTGCCAACGAAGGAGGCAGCGGTGGCGTCGGACGGCACCCTTCCTGCTCTCCTCCCTCCTGCCACCTCTTCAACGTCCACCCAGCGACACACTCAGTACCTACGCCTCAAAAACAGCCACCGGCTGGCCGACACGGCAGGCTGGACGGACAGGGGAGTGAGAAAGACTCACGCCTGCCCCGGAAGCACACTGGCACCCCCCGTGCCACAGCGGAGAGCACAGAGGACTCTCCGTGCCCATGCGGAGGGCTGACTGTGGAGAGCGGGCGTCCTGGAGGAGGAGATGTGAGGGACCAGCAGCAGCTACCTGTGCCAAAGGAGGAAGGGGTCGTTCTGGGGAGGGGACATCAGCTGCCAAGGTCTCGTCCTAAGAGCGATGGCAGGAGACAGAGGGTGAACCCAGTCGGAGGTGATCAGGAGACACAGACGCACAGAGAAAGACAGGCTGGGGAAGGGGGCACTGCAGACTCCCGGCCGCTCACTGTAGCAGCAAACGACGCTATCTCTGTGGTGGGGCCAGCACTGCAGGCCCAGCGAAGCGAGCAGGGGTGACGGCTGCCATCCTCAGCCTCCAGAGGCTGTGACAAGAAGCGAATGAGAAGGCTGGTGAGCGAGTTATGGCTGTCGGTCTGGTTTTACTCCCTCTGCCTGTACCTTTTATCGGATCAAGAGCCTTACATCAACTTGGTACTTGTTACCAGTGCAACTCTTGGGCCCTGACAGACCCAGGAACCAGGGCGTCCAGGGGCCCGGCAGTGTGTTTTCACAAGGCCCAGGCTGTCCTGAATGCCACTCGACACTCCTCATCAAAGCCACTAGAAATCGCTCACACTGCGAGAAAAAGAACAACATGCCAACAATAAAGAAACTGGTTCTTGAGAAGGTCTAATGCCTAATGAATGACAGAAAACCAAATCTGAAAACCGGGCCCTCATAAATCTCTTTCCTGTCGGAGAATTTTAATCGATTCCCCCTGTAGCTTACGTGGGCAGGGGCTCCGCACCAGGTGTCCGGCTGTGCCGCCCACGCTAGTGGAGCCAGGACACGTCCGCATCGTTGTCCGGGGCTCAAGGCCTCTGTCTGTACCAGGAGACGATGCTCCGAGGGCGGCGTCTTTTCAGGCCACCACAGCGATCCCCAGGACACACGAAGGCCTCCGTCACAAGGGGGGCCTCGCCCAGGTGTGGCACAGACGAGCTCTGCTCAGAGTCCCAGTGCTGTCCCCATCAGGGGGGTGAGCATCCTCTGAAGGACCACTTACATCAGATGTCCTCTAATGCAAACTCACTCTGAGCAAAGTGGTTTTAACTCCCCTGCGATGACCTGCGACAGCTGAGCCCACCAAACACAAAGGAAATTATTAGTAATTTCAGTTTCAAAAAAACACATTTTGATCAGAATCAAAAGGCAGAGGAGCTGAGAGAACAGCTAGAACTACTGTGGAAGAGAAGGCCTCTCCCATGGCGCACGAAGACACAGTCATCTGGGCCGTGGGGTTCCATGGGCGCTGCCAGAAGACACCAGGGTGGCCCTCACATTCCAGTCAGAGCTCACGGGCGGCTGGGACACTACAGACAATAATCTGGAGACTGAAAGGTGGTCTGGCAACCAGCATCGCATCTAAACCCTAATCACATGACTTGGTAAAGGTGTTCATGTGGGCAGATGGACAGGAAAGCCTGCTTAAATATTAAAATCTTGTTTTTGTATCAATATCAACATAAACATAAACAGTCACTCATCTAAATCATCCACCAAGGAAGTTCGAAACCACACTTCCAGTGTCTCCTGATGGGTTACAGACGTACCCTTCAGACACAGCCCTCGCTGAATGGGACACAGACCGGGCTTGCCGAGCCGGTTCTCGGAGCAGAGCCCGTGGGCTGTGTCTGTGCCCGAGCCCCGCCATTCCCATGGGGCCGAGGAGCGTGCCCATCAGCCCGGAAGCACGCCCTCCAGAGCGGGTCAGAACTCTGTGGCATGCCTTTGACTTTCGCTCACGACAAACACCCAGACTTAAGCCATGACGGGAACTATAGTAACCCTTCCCATGGTGTGTTTGAAAAGATACTATGAGACAGAAATCACATAAATAACCAACCATTTCTGGAAAATTATTCGGGCCATCCTTTAAAAATACTTCTTGCCGTAAAAACAAGCGTGGATTCACCGTGATCTGTTTTTGCGGTGAGTACCTCGTCAGGCTTTGAGCACAGCCCTGAGAGAGAGAACAGCGAAACGGGCTCTGTAACGACGCCAGCCGCCCTCCCAGGGCAATCGCCCGTGAGCGTCTCCAGGCTCCCGTACTTGTTTGGTAAACTGTAGGCTGTGCGATGGAAAACGACAGTGACACGAGACAATTAACGCGTTCGAGAGCAGACCATCGAGACCCCAGAAACACGCGCTCTGAAACGGCGAGGAGGCCACCCTCCGCCCTCGGGCTGCCCAGCGCGTGGAGCGCCGCCCGGTCCCGGGGCCCCCTCCCGCTGTCCGTGCGTGGAGCACCGTCCCCGTCGTAAGTTTTGGACCTTTCCAGAGCCCAAGAACTTGCTTGCAGAAAGAGAGGGTTTCCTTCAGCTAATTTTTAAGCGAACCTGTTTTCCTTTCTTCATGCCAGACCCTTCTCGTGACCAGGAGCGTGTTTTCCCAGTTGAAGTAACTTTCCTACCTCCCCATCCCGCTTGTCCAGATTCTCGCGACGGGGAGGCAGTGCGAGTGGACCTCGGTGGGTCACCCAGGGGGGCGGCGGCGGCTCCGAGTGGACCACAGTCCCCTTAGGGCTGCCTGCCCGCCCGGGAGGACCCCCAGCCCCACACCCATATGGCCAAGCGCGGCAGGGAGCTGTGACCGCCCCTCCCGCCATGTCACACCTTAGGGACAGGGGCCTTCCTCCAGCCCAGGGGCGAATGAGAACTACAGCATCTCCACAGTGAAGCCACCGCTGGACTGTGGCACCGTGGACACAGCGGGGATGTCTGTACCTGGAACGTTCATCGGCAGGGGCCTGACGAGGTCCGGGTGCCTTAGCGGGTTCCCAGAGTGCACGAACCACTCCTGGACGACGGGGCCGCCGCTGGCGCCACCTGAGTAAAGACAGCCGGTCAGTAGGTGCGCTGAGCGTCAACATTCATCACCAGCCAACACAGTCACAGACACAGTTTGGCCAGGGACCAATTTCAAGCCGGCGAGCACAGTGAGTTCTCGCCTCCAAGGCCCCTGAGAGGACCCACCCTTCCACCTGAGGGACTGCTCACTCTGGGGCGGGCTGGCAGGACAGCCTGGGGACTCGAACAGTAACCTGGGGCACAGTTTGACTCACAGCTCTGGGGTGGGGCTCCGAGTGCACCCTGACCAGGCCCCTGCTCGCACAGGGTCCACCCCTCCCCACGCCTCTCCTCAGCCCCTGTCTAGACATGGCACCCTCCGGTCTGAACCCTCTCCTCCCCACCTTAACCCTCCCCCTCTGAGGCCACCTCCCTGGATGGCATGTGGCCACCCCTCTTTGCCTTCTCTCTCGGTGCAGGTATCAGTCCCTGCTCTCTAGGGTGGGACACCCCCATGCTCCCCAGGATTTGTCTCCCTGCTCCACCTGCTGTGGGCCCCTGGCAAGAACCGCATCTTCTCCACCCAGGCCCAAGGCAGGTATATGAGCTGTAGGTTTAATGAGCAAACGCAGCTTGGCCCACATCTCATGTGTACGCAAGCCGAGGAAGGGAAGGAAAGAGATCTGAGCAGTATTCTTACAGTTGTTTGAACAAGAAGTCCACCTCCTCTTGGCCTTGGCCTAGGTTTTCATGACATTAAAAACAGTCTACTGAGTGTGCAGTGTCCCGAATCGCTATTTCAGTGTGAGAGCAGACTCTCATGCCAAAGGCTCAGTCACTCATGGTAAGGGCTCTTGGCCATCACCACCACCCAAGGAAATCACAGGACATCTTTGAACTGCGTTTTAAGCCATAAATGTAGAAACGATCCCTTTTCCTCTAAAGCTGCTCGCGACACAGAGTTTAGAGCTGACTTCTCAATGAGTTGTAACACTAAAATACAAATAAACTGAAGAGACTTTCGTGATGGCCACTGGTGCCCTCTGAGAAAACACCAGGTAGACGTTCTGTTATCTCCTCTCTGGTTAAGACCATGGAAGTCAGGCTCTGGACAAGTGTTCCAAGAGCAATGCCACCCAGGAGTCAGTGACTCAGCAGCACTCCGGAGGGAGGAGCAGCCCGAGGAACCCAGTGCCATAGGGTCCACGATGCCCGCTGGCACAGGCTGCCAGGAGTTTCACTGACCACGAGCGGTCACATAACAAGAGTGGATCATGCTCGCACGGCGCAGCACTCACATGACTCACCGCACAGCCCGGACACGGAAATGCCTCGTCTTCACGCGGGACACTAATGAGCCAGAGGCGAAAGTTCGACCAGACTCGCTGGTGTGAGGTTTCACTCCCTAAATGGAGTTTTACTGGCATCGTGAAGGACTCGGCAAAAGACGAGACCTGACAATAGCTACTTTCTCTGAGGCGGAAGCAAGTCAAGGAGGATGAAACGAGACCGGACGCAGAGTGAACCTGCAGAGACTCCTGAGTCCCACCCTCCCTCTGCGTCACTGGGCGCCGGGGACAAGCAGCTTAACAGACCTCACTGTGCCCTCTTTGATCACCATAGGGGCAGAGGGCAGCATTCAGGGGTTACAAAATGTTGTCCACGTCCACAGATCGTAAGTGTGACAATCCAGTCAACACTTCTAGCCAAAGCTCAACATTCAGATGGTGTCATTTTCACTTTTAATCCATATTAGCCCTCCTACAGACAGACGCCAACACTACCTGAGATCTTCTCAAAACAAAAACAAACAAATTTGGTGGAAAATCCTAAAGTTTGGCACATTCTCTGGGCACCACATCGTTTCAGAGTGGTGAAATTATAGCAGAATGTTGCAATAATTCAGTTTGTCTGAACTAAAACAAAATAATCTTAAATGACTATATATCAAAAAAAACAGAAGAGGCTGACTTTCTTACTGGAACTTTCGATCTGTTGGCCTCTTGAATTCAAAAAGCAAAGTAAAAACTGGAGTAAATGCTAGTTTCACTCTCTCTTTCAAGCTGTAACATCATATGTGGAAACAGAAAAATAACAATCAAGCCTGTTCTTGTGCTATTCCCAAAGGACAGACACATAATTCCACTTTGTAAAGTCTCCTACATAGAACTAAGATGGTTTCCTAGGAGCACACCTGTGCACTTGTCCACACTCCCACCCTCCCCGCAAACACTGACTGGATCATCTGAACACAAACTCCCGGGAGGGCCGACCCCTCTCGCATGACCTGCAGGTCTGTGGGAGTGCGCAGGGCAGGGGACAGAGGATGGAGAAGCAACGTGGACTTTAACCTCTCAGTTACTGGGATTTTCAGGTTCAGGAACAACCCCGCTGGCTTTTTAAAAACTATATCTGGGCCCCACCCAAGCCACATCCAGTTTTTTGTCCTCGGCAAGACCAGTGCTCTTTGCTGGGCCAACTCCAAGACTCACACTGGTGGCAGTTGGCCTTGCTTTCTGGTGTGGCCTTTTGAGGCAACTATCAGCACAGCATCTGTGGATTGCTTGCTGAATCTTAACAGGTGGCCCTGGAGGGGCACAGGCTGGGGCTAAATTTGGCCTGCAGCTGAACCCCTCTCAGGACTGTGCCACTGGACACCTACCACACAAACCCATGCTAATAAGACCGGGAGACTTAGGAGCTTTGCTTAGTACATAGAAACAGACACAGAAAGGCAGCCAAGATGGGAAGACAAAGAAGCAGAAACCATATGAGTGAACAGAACAGAGATCCAGGAACAATGGAGACGAGCAATCTCACAGACGCAGAGTTCAAAACACTGGTTACAAAGATGCTCAATGAACTTAGGGGGAGAGCAGATGAACTCAGTGAGAACTTTAACAAAGAGATAAATAGAAAAATGGAAATGGAAATTATAAAAGGGAACCAGTCAGAAATGAAGAAGATGTTATCTGAGAAGAGTATATAAAAGGAAATCAACAGAGTGGAAGAAGAAGAGGATCAAATTATCGATATGGAGGGTGAGGAAGCCAAGGACGCTCAATCAGAACGGCAAGGAGAAAGAAGCCAAGACTATAATAATAACTTAAGGAGCCTATGAGACACTATTAAAGGTAAAAATATCCATGTCATAGAGGTACCTGAAGGAAAACGAGACGTTGAAGAGCTATTTGAAGAAATAATGATGGAAAACTCCCCTCACCTAGTGAAGGAAATAGACATAAAACCCCAGGAAGCTCGGAGTCCCAAGAAAAAGGAACACAAAGAGGCCCACACCAAGACACATTATAATTAAAATACCAAAGGTTAAATACAAAGAGAGAATCTTAAAAGCAGCAAGAGAAAAGCAGTTAAGTTACCTACAAGGGAGCGCCCGCCCGTAAGACTGGCAGCTGATTTTTCAAAAGAAACCATGTAGGACAGAAGGGCTTGGCAATAAAATATTCGATGTGATGAAAACCCAGGATCTACAACCAAGAACACTTTATCCAGCAAAGCTACCATTTAGAGTCAAAGGACAGATAAAGAGCGTCCCAGACAAAAATAAGCTAAAGAAATTATCAACACCAAGCCAGTATTACAGAAAATGTTGGAGGGACTTCTTTAAGAAGCAAAAGCATGTATCAAAAACAGGAATAAAGAATGGTAAGAACTACATTCCTATCAATGAGTAGCTCAAACGGAAAAGAATTAAGTGCTCCGACCAAAAGACAGAGTGGCTGAATGGATGAGAAAACAAGAGCTTTACGCATGTTGCCCACAAGAGAATCACTCAGATTGAAAGACACACAGCAAAAGGACGGGAGTGGGAAAAGATACTCCCTTGATGGACCTAGAGGGTCCTGCGCTGAGTGACGTGGTCAGACAGAGAAAGACAAATATCACATGACTTCGTGTACATGTGGATTCTAAAGAACAAAATAAACAATAAGAACAACAAAACTAGAAATAAACTCATAGATACAGAAGATATTTTGAGGGCTACTAGGCAGAAAGGGGGGTTGGGGGGAATTTGAAACAGGGCAAAGGGATTAAGAAGTACAAATGGATAGTTACGAAACAGACATGGAGATAGAAAGCGTAGCATAAAGAAAATAGTCAATGATGTAATAAACGTGTAAGGGGGAAGAGGGGTACTAGATTTAGGGGGTCACTTTGTGAATTATATAGATTTCTAATCACTATGCTGTACAATCAAAACTAAAATATTATTGTATGCCAACTATAATAGAAAAAACTCAGTGAACTGTACAATGCAAATATGAACTGTTATATTTCAATAAAGCTAGAAACAAATTTTAAAAAATAATATATAACATAAATACATAAAAATACCACAGAACCATAAGGACAGATATATATATATACACACACACACACACACATATATACACATGGCATGGGCCAATTGGTTAACTTGTCCTCGGAGGGTTACAGAGCGCGGGAGTTGCTGGGGGGCACAGGCAGTTACATCTGTTGCTTAGAACAAGCAAAAGGGAAGATGAGTCTTTAGTCAATTTTGAGTACAGCCCATGCAGCAGGCATATCTACAGAAGCAGAACAGAGAGCTGATTAGCCTTTTGAGTGAAAATTCCCCTTCGCCACCCTGACTGGACAGTGACTATTTACTTGCAGGGCTGACCACCCCACCACAAGACTGTCAGCCGCCCCCGGGCCCCACTGGGATTCCCAGGACATCTGCTGGATTAGAGTGAGGAGACAATGGGACCGGCCGGCTCGCTCTGGCTGCCGAGGGCTGTCAAGGGCTGCCGTCCGTCCACAGGGCACTGCCGTGGGGCCATCGACTACCGACATGGGCAGGAGGGCAGAGCAGGCTCTTCCCTGGCATCTTTCTGAGTTCCTTCTATTGCCTAAAACTCAAAAGGTTTCATAGTGATTTCAGCGAAGATTATCACTAGGGGCACTAAACACCAGAGACAGAATCAGGTAAAATGGCATGAGGGGCTAAGGGAGAGCGATCTCAGGACTGCTCCCCACTTTGGGCCACGACACCACTC